CGGTCTGAACGTGGCGTTGGGTCTGAGTGTGGGTTGGGTCTGAGTGTGGTGTTTTCTATTTATCGATGTGACCCTGAACTAGTGAGTGAGAATCGCAGGAAACTTTAGTGCCTAGGCTGCTAAGACACACAACCCACAAAATATCGTTCATACCCGTCATACAACCAAATAGACTCCAACGTTTTCATTAGATCGATCACAATCACACTCACTGCTGCACCAGCCATCGCCCACATACTATTCCTCAGTTGCCGCATGCCTTCACCGTCGCCCATTGGGACCTCCACACAATGTATATACCATAGTATTCCTTAGTTTTCGAATGACTTATCCGTCACCTATTGGGTTCACCACACTACATACACACTGAACACAGGGTCGCTGCCACAGCCGCTGCAGTATATGTCCGTTCTGCACGCGGTCGACCAGCACTGGTGTCCAGATTTTGTGTACTTCTTCCCTCCCGATATCACGACTCAACTCAAAACCCAGACCAAGTCAGCCCCAGGGACAGGGAAAGGGTCTAGCGGCGATACGATTACGCACTTACAAAGTCCGACATCTACGCCGTTCAAGGATGTATTCAGTCAGGTGAGAATTGATCGGTGTCTATTCACCTGGGACAGCCAGATAGACACTTCTTTTAGTGGCGGTTATCGCGACACTCTCAGCTACTGTGGGGTGCTGTCGTTGGCGTGAGGTGGCTTCTTTTATATCCTCGCGTGTGTGCACACACAGTTATACGTGTCACCACTCACACTGACGCTGAATACCCACACACGCGACCATCCTAGGTTGCGCAACAATCCGGCGGAGTGAATACCCGATTGGCGTCATTCGACCCACTGTCAGCCTTCAATGTGCACGTGCGCAGAGCCCAGAAATTAGCTCTCCTGGCCCTCTCTAGAGGCATCCAGGTGCAGCGATCGGTTGGGGACAAAACACTCGAGCAGGAGTACGAATTGGACCAGGCATGGATTGCTGGGCTTGTTGGAGCGATTGAGGTGAGTGCGACAGCCCGCGATGGTTCCTGTTGAACGGGTGTAGACCGTATCCCGTACACTTGTGAGTGCTTGCAAAATGCTCGCGCGGTCTTTCATAATGCTAGTTCTCTCTCAGTTGCGATGTATCCGTATGTGTGTGCATACGCCTGACACAATGTGTAGTCACCAACCCAAGCACGGCCCCGCTGGTACGCCTCCCATTCGATGCTCCACGTCGACTGTTAGCGTCCCGCAAACCGTAGCTGGGGTGCACACCCCAGGATCTTTCTCACACATCGACATACCCTAGGGATGTACGTATATTTTAGATCACACACACAGGGCACACACACAGGGCACACACACAGGGAGACAACAGCCCCAAAACTAGGGGGTTCGTTTAACACTGTATACACACCACTTCACACACACACCACTTGGTACTCGCACCCCCGTCAGGTGACGCTTACCAAACCAAGCACAGCCGCCCTCGTGACCCTCCGGCCCGACGACCCGCGCCAACTGGTGGCGTTCCGCAGACCCTCACGCGACTCTGCGCGCAGGGCGGGTGGTAGTGAGAGTGGGTTAACCGATGTACAGGAAGAACAAGCCAAGATATTGGCTCGCGCGATACTGTCCGCTGGGGTGAAGCTGGACAAGTCAGCGGCCCCTATGGCTCAGCTAAAGGGCGCACTGCTGTACTACCAGACGGTAGATCAGATACCGCACTTCGAGCGAAGGCTGATTGAGGTATGTTTGCTTGTGTGTGTGGACTGTGCCGCTGGGAGGATGTCTGAGCGTGGATATGGATGTACCCATCGGCTGGGTGTACGCTCATGTACAGTTTATTTGGAAGTACACACTTTCAGTTCTTTGTTTGTTTTAAGGCCCGTTTTATGCACTTCTCCCCCCCTTCCCACTAGCCTGTTGCAGCCGATCTTGTCGACTTGGATATTGATCTAGCCGCGGCAGAACAGACGGACCCAAGTGAGCGTGATACGAACCTCGTCGTGAATGGGAACGCAGACGAAGACGCGACATACGTCTACAACACACTCACATGTGAGGTGATGGATGCCAGTGTGCCTGAGAGCGAGTTTGCGCGCTATGTGATCAAGTTTACAGATGGCTCTGCCGCGTTCGAGGGGGACTGGGAGGTGCTGCGGAAAGGCTTCACCCATACATATCCCGTGCACCCCACTCTGGGAATGGAGAAGGAAGCTCATTTCTCGATCGCGATTGAGATTGAGCAGATGAAAGCCGAGGGCGCGATTGCCGAGCCAGATCTCGAGCCAGATAGTACCAATGTAGATGGAAAGGAAGATCTAGATCGTATCCTGCTGGGTCTAACCACAACTGGGGCTGGTGTCGAAGCAGATGCAAAGCGCAAAACTAGTCGTCTGCTTCGTAACACCCGCACACGGTACATCATCCGTGCCTTCTCAATCGCCTCAGTGTTTTCCGCGACGTTTGCGTTCCCCAGGATCAGTCGAGACGGCGGGGGAACGGAGCAGCAGCCGTCTCCAGATGACATAGGGGCGTTTCAGGTATGTGTGTTACTGAAGGGATGTGCTTGGCTGGGTTGTACTGTGATCATCTTCCCAGATGACATAGTGGCGTTTCAGTTATTTGTGTTACTGAAGGGATGTGCTTGCCTGTGTTGTACTGTGATCATCTTACCAAATGACATAGGGGCGTTTCAGGTATGTGTGTTACTGAAGGTGTTGATCAGTATTGATCCTTGTTTCCTTGACTAATTCTCACGTGCGAACAAATGTATGTACTATACACCCGCACACATCTGTTTCAGGTGTGTATGTGTTTAGTACGACGAGATTATGTTCATGTCAGATACAAGTGTACCACGCTAGAGTCGACGACGGAAATGAATGTGTTGTGTATAGTGACACACTGGCTCCCCTCTCACTACCCCCCTCGAGTGCTCGCCCCCAAGCTAGGCAAGTGTGCATGGTACGTCGGTGCAGATGTTTAGACTCTGGCTGCTAACAAATAGCCAGCAGTGCCTGTGCCAAATACTAGATTGTATTATTCCTGCTTGTTTTGGGTGGCTGGTGTGTATGTTTACACTTTGTTTGGGTTGAGTATGTAATAGTTATACCATGCTTATATATACCGGGTTTAAGCGAGTGCGTTATGTCAAGTCTATCGCAGGTGTTTGGGTTTTGGTGTGAATCTGTATGGCTGTGTGTGCTACAAGCAGTCAGTGACAATAATTGCGGCACAGGTAGCAAGCACAGGTATCTGTTAAATTAAGCGTACGTGTATATTGCTGACGCCATCTACCTACACCTGGTGCGTAACTGTTCTTCCCATACTTATATGTACAGCACCCCCAGTCCTGTCGACGTGGACTCAAATGAATATATATATATATATATATATATCTATATATATATAGATATATATATATATATAGTAA